GTATTTTGAAGGCATTAAACATTGCCATAGCGATCGGAGTGTTGCGGCCAGATTAGACGCTCCTTGTGTTTATTATTATATTTCGAAAACGCCACAGTTTTCATGCAGCTCATACCATATTATTTTGTTGTATTAATCCGCCACACCTTAAATGCCGGTCCCTGAAAATACTGTCTGACTTAAACCGGTCCGTGGGGCAAAAAAGGTTGGGGACCCCTGGATTATAGGATTCAGGTTGATATCCCACAAGAACCCGATCACTGCCAATCCCAAATCACGCCCCCTTAACCCTCCCGACCCCAAAAATACATCAATCAAACCATATGAGTGACTCGCTGTGTTGACTAATTAGATGTTTTTTTTTGTTGTTTTTTTTAATACAGATTGTAAATATTACACCTGGAATTAAATTGAAACACGGCAGCAAGAGCCCGATTTGAAGAAGGAAAGTAAGGCACGACAGTGTTCATCCAAATCTATATATTACATTAACTCTTTAACTCCACAAGATGTACTTGTACATCTTTTTAAAATTAGGCCCCGCCTACCAAAGACGTACTTGTACGTCTAAGTCAGGGGTGTCAAATTCCGGTCCTGGAGGGCCGCTGTCCTGCATGTTTTCCAAGTCTCCCTGTTGCAACACACCTGATTCAAATGATCAGATCATCAGCAAGCTCTGCGCAAGCCTGACATTGAACCTGTTCATTTGAATCAGGTGTGTTGCAACAGGGAGACGGGGAAAACATGCAGGACACCGGCCCTCCAGGACCGGAGTTTGACACCCCTGGTCTAAGTCTTTTTTTTTTTGCGTCATAGAGAGGAGGAGGGGATGATGGAATCTGTGAATGAGAATAAGCCGTTTGCATTGTAAATCATGTAAAAAAGTGACCAGTAGGTGGTAGTGGTGCCTCACGTGCTTGAAATGCATGCTTTTACAAAAAGCTCTTTTTCTCATTTTTTTGCCCAGGAATCGCCATTTTCATGAAACGAACCCATTTTATAATGCCGATTGCTGAAGAATGGAAAAAGATAGAAACAACGTTTTTGCTGAAAGGAGAGAGTCCAAACTTTATTTTGGTAGGCTCCATGTTTATATAGCATTAGAACCAAATATTCTGTGGGCCTTGCAAAATCAATCAAAATCCAGTAAAATGCTGGGATTGAGGGGGTTGCTCCAGTGAAAAAGACTGGGATTGAATGAGTTAATGGCTTGTCGGCCTTACCAAGAATTCCCACACCCAAGTAGCCAACCAGGGCAAGAAGGAAGAGCAAACAGCATATGATATCCGTGCATCCCCTGAAAACGAAGAGCGTGTGGTTGATCATCAGTTCTTTGGGGAAAAAATATGGAACTGCTGATTGAAAGTAATCATACCTGTTTTGAAGGGGCCCCTTGAACTCTGGGTCAAACTTCCTGACCTCTCCTGAAATTGAAAAAGCAACAATATATTCATCACTATCTCGAGTGCATTGGAAATCAGGATTGTTGATTTCACTCTTCAAAAGTGTCGCAATTGTAATGCCGGTAGTTGTTCTTCCATTCGGTAAAGCCGTTGCTAATTTTGCCATTTTCATTTTCAACTGAGTTCACTTGGATTAGTTACGCACTCGGTAAATTATCAATTGGACAGATCCATGTGTGAGCAAGGAAACTGAGTTGGGTTCCACTCCATTTAATTGTTATTTATTTTGTTGATATGAAGGACAGTACCTTAAATTAAAATGATTGGGCCATGTTGAATTGTCATATTCACTTATTAGGAGGCTGGATTGATTGATTAGGTCCAGACTTAGCTACTTAATTGGGTTATGGCCTGAGCTGTATTTCTATCATAACTCATTCTTAGGAAACTGGTTGGATTGGGTTCATACGTGTCGGGGAAATTTTTAGATAGAAGCTGTCCATGAAGCAACACAGGCTAAATGCATTAACACCGGCATGTCAAAATGCCTGTTTTGATTTGAGAATTAGGATTTACATTTCTAGAATTGGTTTATCAAGTGTCTCTCCCATTTCAGCTTGTCAGATGCGCTCTTTAGGAAAAGGTAATATTGCATGATTATGAATTAGGACGTTGTGAATGCAACATTGGTCCTTTCGCCACCGTCTGAATGAAGAATCCTTATATGAATGCTTTGACTACATATAAATGTAAATATATTTGGCAAAAAAAAAAAAAAAAAGGTTCTACATTTTGGATAGATGTTGATTGATTTTGGCCAGCTGAAGAGACCTTTAACTTAAGAGTTCATTAAAATTATGTAAAGGACTTTTGACCAGCACTGTATGTTTCATTGCAAAGTATCTACATCACATGTGTCAAAGTCAAGGCCCGGGGGCCAGATCTGGCCCGCCACATCATTTTATGTGGCCGGCGAAAGCAAATCAAGCATGTCAAGTTCCATGATGCTTGCTAAAGTCTGAACCAAAATTTCAAATTGTCATATGTAATCCACAATAACCGTCATTATTCTTGACTTCTGATTTTAAAACTAGTTATCCATCAATTTGTTGTGCGCTGTGTATGTAATATGTGGAGGTGATTAAACATTTATATGGTTTTCCAAAATTCATAACGGCCCTCCAAGGCAAACCGTAACTACAATGTGGCCCGCAACAAAAATGAGTTTGACACCCCTGATTTCTACATCAAAGACCAGAATCACAGCAGCGATCCAATTAGCATGATCACAGATAAATAACACTTTTCGGTGAAAATTAGTACACTACTGTAATTACTGCATCGATTGTATTTAAGTGTGTGCGTGTGTATTGACAATATCCAAAACAAAGAAAGGGGCCCTATGGCTAACAAGCCTAGCAATAAAAATAGCTCCCTTGGGAGTCCCTGTGCAGATTGCGCCAGACACCATCATAACATCTTCACCAAAGCACAGAAGATAAAGAATGAACCCATTTCAGTGTGTCCCACATAGCATAATTCACCTTACCTATATATTTGAAAAAGAAAAAGGGTCTCAAAGTGCTTAAATGTCCAATGTCTTGTCACATCAATGGCTGTTGTCTGCCATCAGCCTTAAATCGTCATTTACAAGGTTCAGTACTCGCACACACAAATCAAGCAAATGCACAGTTATACCTTTTTTTTTGAACTGTAACATTATGCCGTTAGTTCTCTGTCACTTGATGACTGTCACACATCAGTTCTTCTCGTATCCTGTTGGGCAGTTATTTCTGGGTAATTCCTGTTTGGGGTCTCACTTCTGGGACCGCACACTTTTTATGTCCCAATGTCAGCTGTGGTGAGGGTGCCTTACTTGTTCCATGAGTGAAATGAAGACCTTTATTAGGTCACGCGATGTGTAAATGATCACAAAGCAGAGACGTTTCTTAAAGACGTGTTGTCATTTCAAGACCAGAGACTTGTCATGTTAACAGCGGTGACCGTTTGCGCTCATCATATAGGTGTGATGACAATCATTGATGATGAACATGATCATGTGTTTACCACCTCGATGTAAAAAGGAGTCCACATCATCTAAAAGACAAAGCAGTGCAGTGTTCCTACTGTTAACCGGTTAGAACATCTTTAACCACACTTCTCCTACATCTGTCCAACTTTGCAAAATAAACTATCCACACAAGTGACAAGAATTGCAATGGACTTTTAAGGGATTAAGCTTGATTGTGAATGTTTGAAAAATATCTGCTTGACATGAAGGTTTTTTTTGCACATGACTACCATCATCTTCATTATCCAGGAATGTCTTTTAATTAATGGCCTTATTAGTCAAACTTTTGCATGCTAAAAATGGGCACTACTTTGCACTGCAATTTTTTGGTTGGTGGTTTATGAATACTATTGTGTTGGGTTGAGCTCATTTGCTGCTTGCGGTGGTTTCCCAGATGTTCTATGGTGAAAACCATCAGATATACAGTACCTACACCGCAAAATCCTCTGATAAATATGGCTGACCCACTTACTACCTACAGCATGTGCCCTCTGTTAAGGAGGCAACATTCAATTTATCTCCTGCTATTTGGGATCTTAGTGAAAGATTGTAACATAGCCACTAACAGTATGCACGACCTGTTAGCGTGAATTTAGGGCCCATTATTTGGGAACTTAGTAAATCAGGCTGTATATACTGGTATTTATACAGAGTATATTGGACCGCCAAGGCCCCTGCCTTTGGCCACCGCCCAGCTGACTACACACCCAACACTTTTGGCTCCTTCCACAGGTGGTGAGCCCATGGGAAAGGGTACCCACATTGCCCTTCCAGGCTGAGCTTGGCCGGACCCCATGGGTGCAGGCCCACACTCGCATTCGACCTCCATCTCCAGGCCTGGCTCCAGGAGGCCCCAGTAACCCGTATCTGGGCAAAGGAAAACTGTAACCATTTTTCTTATTCATCATAAGGGGTCTCTGAGCTGTCCTTGACCTGGTCCCTCACCGAGTCGGACCTGTTTGCCATGGGTGACCCTGGCCCAGGCAACTTAGCTCCGAGGATCATTGGGACACTCACGTACAGTACATGCAATTAAAAAACGTATCAAATATTTGTGATGACTGAGAGTTTCTGATGAGGACACTAAAGGCACATTATTGTGATATATTGACCCAACTCTTTACATGGAGAAAGTGGTAATTAGGAAATGTGACACAGAGTGAGGTCCTTATAAATACTGGAAATTCTGGTCAATGAGTGAAGCCCACAGTTCAAGTCAAACATAGTGAAGCAGCATTTACTGTAGCTGTTATACAATGAAGGTTAATTCAGGCCCGTGTGCGAATGTTTTTAAATCCAAGACAAACACAGTTTTTATTCTCCCACCATACCTGTGATTCAGGCCCTTGAATGCAGTTTTAAAATTAAAATATCCGAATTTTTTTCTTGTCCTGTACTTTTTAGTTTTTTTTAATTTTAGTAAGCTACTTTTGATTACTTTGCTATTAAATGTATTTAACTCTCTTGTTTGTGAATGCTTACGAATGCTATACTTGTATTTATGTGAAGCACACGAGTTACCTTGTGAATGAAATATATAAATAAAGTTCCCTTGCCCTGAAGAGGAAATACACTTTGCATTTCAGGGGCTGATGAGTCGATTTACGCATCACACGACGTGGTTATTCGCGTTTGGACAACCAAGACCAGACCGAGTCATTCATGAACACAACTACCTGCTGGGGTGTGTGCAATAATAGCGACTCCCGTTCGGTTGAGACTTGAGATTTGTAATGTCCATGTGGACGCAACTCTTTCCCAGACGAGGATAGCAAAACATTGTTTGATTCGCTGTGGTCTAAGACAGTAATTGGAATCGTTTGAATGAATGCAAATGTGATGAAGGATTGCAGATACAATTTGCTCCAATGGAAGCAAGCAGGGGTGTATCATCTTGATGTACCTGCAGCTATGCGCAGCGAAACCACATAAACACATCCACGAATGCACTCACATTTCACAATGTATAATCTTTCACGTTATATTGTTTTAAAAAAAGTAAAAAGCAAGCTGTAGGTCGTGGAGGATAACGATGCTCCCTAGGTACGCATCGATTGGTGTCATGTGGTCCACACCCAAAACATCCACTGCGGTCATTGTATCTCCCGCTTCTAGGTTATAAAGACAAAGACGAGAGGGGAAAGTGCGGTAAAGATGAACCACTCTTACCGAATTGAAATTCCGACTTTTTTTCCTCCGGTTTCATATTGCCCCAGTCGCCGCAGATCAGGACTCGGGCAGGATAGTTATCATCGGGGGCGGGGGGAGATCCGTGGACGGATTCGTCTTCAGATCAATGAGGGAGAGGACCACAAATGAACCATTCCAAAGGAGAAGCACGCTTTACCTCCACGCCGACGGAGAGGAGACAATGCCAATAGGAAGAGAACCATGCTGAGTGACAGCTTCCACAGCCACCCAAAGAGCGTATGCAATTTCCAAAAGGGTACGATGCATTGCCAATGACTTGAAAATTAATTTCTTATTGGTGATACAGCTACTTGAATATACTTATTTAGAAGCATGCCATATTACATATTTTGGTATTGATCCATACCAACTAAATACAGCACCAGTTTGCCAAAATCAATCTCAATACGGGTTAATAATTAATGTGGAATGCTTAATGAATAGATACATCTCAATTAGTTTTCATGACCTTTAAGTGTTTCTTTATATTTTTAAAACCACCATCAATTATATTAAGGCTTGACAGTAAATAGAATGTTTTATCATTTTTTTTTTCAGAAAGAGTACAACACTAACGAAACAAAATTTGCCCGACAATGTCGTGTCTGGATTTTTTTCAAGTGCACAACGTGATCACCCTCCAAAAATCAAATGTTGTTCAGAAACTACCATAGGGTTCAAAAATTAGATAAAATTTATTGCACTTCTTGTCTGGAGTTTCTTTTCCTCATATAAAAGTGCTGTTCAAGATTATCACTCTAAAACAAACATCATCCAATATAATACAATACAGCTTTATTTATATAGCGCTTTCACAACAGCTGCAGCTAGAACAAAGCGCTTTACAACATTTAAAATTGAAAAGCTATTCACTTTCACGTGTAATGTGTGTTCAGAGAATCCAATACAAAAAATATATATACATTTCTCCCCTTCAGTGCACTTCCTCTATTTTTGCGGAGCATGTAAATAGCATATGATATACATCAGATAACGTGTAAACAGTTCCGGGATGATACCAAGGCCCTTCTTCAGCTTTCTAGCAACCCATACTGTGATGTGTTCAGAGATGGCTCCCACGACAGAGACCATCCATTTTACAGCCAGATGGAAGATGCATACCTGTCAACTTGTACGTTTTCCCCGTATCTTATACGTTTTTTTAATCATTTCAAATCATGTACGGCATATTACAACTTTTATACGGAAAAAAAAACAATTGTGAACCGATTTCACAAAGACCATTTTGGCTCAATCCAGATCGTCGCACCTGCTGGTAGCCAACGACAATGGCATCGTGGATCGCTACTATTGTCACGGCAAACAAGCAAAAGTAATCCTTAATCGGATATTTTTTTTCATCGCTGCATACGGTCGGATTGATAAAGCATGATATGCGCATGCGCGGTAAACCATTGTACGGGTTTTTGTTGCTTTGTAAGGGGAATCGTAATCATTTATAAGGACAGCTATTAGCCGAGGTTGACAGGTATGTAGATGACCCACTCGGACTTCATGCATCCCCTTTGGATCGTGGTGGAACTCCTGCCGGAGGTGCGAGTTGAAACTCCATCTGATAGTGGACTCTGCCATATGTCCCCAGCGGTTGTTGGGGTCCGACGGGCCGAACTGGGACATCCCCCCAACCATGGAAGCCAACACACCACCATGTGTGTGTCCAAGATCAGATGTCTGATTAAACAACCACAAGCCAAAATCAAACATTCCTAGCAGGTGCAAAAAGACCGAAAAGATTTAGCTTTTTGAATTACTGGAGGGGCACAAAAACCAGCCAATGAGCACCGAGGACGTAGGGCCACGCCCTCCGATTTGCCAAGGACGTGACACGGCGAGTGACGTAACACAAAGCGAACCATTACTTAACAACAAGCGTCTGGGACAAAAACTCGTGAGAACGTTGTATCTGATAAACACGCCGAGAAGAAAACGGTCAGGTAAAGTGAGAACAGTCGCTGTCACGTGGGTAGCAGAATTCGCTTCAAATCGTTGCACGCAGACTTTTAAATTTCTTAGTTGCGCTTGACAGCACTCTTCACACAATAGGCTCCCTATCACATGCATGCTTTCCTCAGACCGTTTGTGCGTTTCTAATGAGATGATTGTATTTTAATTTCTCAGGATGTACTGGTTGGATGAGTATGAGTTTGTTTTTCATTAGGCGCAATATGGCTTTGAGAAGTGTTACTCGTCTGCTGTCCGGCACCCCAAAATGTGCAGCTGTCAGTGTGTGCCGAGCCCAGAGTACAACTGCTGCTGCCCCACTCAAAGTTGATGGTAAAGTTGGCTCTTTTTCTAAGAATTCAAGAAATGCTTGGCAAAAATAAAATGCATTGGACACGTTTAAAGCGAGGTATTTATACATGTCAACAATAGATGCTGAAGAAGTCAGAAAGGCTGCCAAGAGAAGTACGTACGTAACATTTTGAAGGAGTCTAACCAACCGTGCTCATTACATGTTCTGTTACCACGTGTGACAGTGACATAACCCCTGTCTGTGGATATGTTTTGACCCTCAGCCAAGGTGCCATTCAACTGGCGAGACGCTCTGGACTTGGAAGGTCAGCTGACAGAGGAGGAGGTGATGATCCGGGACTCCTTCCGTGACTACTGCCAAGAAAAACTCATGTCCCGTATCGTGATGGCCAACAGACATGAACGTGAGGAAAAACACACACCGTAAAAGAATCCAAAATGTGCATTTTCTCAAAAAACAAAACAATTCCCTGTTGTCTTTAGAACATTAGTTAGTAGTTAGTTATAAGATACAGTATACTACTGTGCTGCCTGCTCGTCACCACTCGTTGTGTTGGCTCACCCCTGTCTGCAAGTCCCTTCAAGAGTGCAACTGTTAAACTCAAAGCCTGCTGATCAACTCTGGCTCTTGGAATTTGATGTGCCCTGTGAAATCTTGCCACTTGTGGTCAAAATTAATTATCACACAAATAATTTTTAAAAATCAAATGCAGGAGACAGCGATGTAATAATGCTTGGCTGATAATTAGGCATCCCACACAGAACATATTAAGGACAAGAAGTGTATTGCCATGCGCTCTACAGTAGTTCGTAAACAAATGCAGTGCAGCTCAGCTTCTGGCTAGCTGACGTCATGGCTAACAATATTGTTTTGGGAGAATGCCGTGCTTGTCAGAAATGGAATCTTACAAACGTGTATGTCAGTGAAGTGTTGGGGAGGGAAAAAAGTAGCGCTGGTGAAACTTTTGTCACCATTTAAAATTCCTCCAAAGGCTTTTAGAGAAGGCAAAAGCAAGAAGAAATGCCATTGGTGGTAGCATAATAATTCAGCAGTTCACACAATATGGTTGCACCCTTCATTTCATAAAAAGAAGACTATGAGTTGTGCTTCCTTAAAAAAGAATGAATGTTTCATGTTTCAATTTAAATTTCGATTAAATGTGTACAGGTTTGGACAACAGATCGGACATCTTTTTTTTTTTTTTTTTAAACATTTTTTGGTTCCATTACTGCACTGAATTTGAACCAAAAGTATTATTTACTAAATTGTGATTTCTGATATACAAAAAAAAAAAAAGACAACTTTGTGATGATACTTTGTGGTTTCATTTCTATATCCACTCAGAATATGTGGTTTGCCTCTCAACATAACAGTGGACATCGCTTTGTTGTCAAGGAAGAAGAAATGCCGAGGTTCTTATGCAAATCAGATGATCTGTTATGTTCTGTGATTAAAGACTTGGTTGTTCAATTTCAGACTTGATGGCTGGCAGGCGCTCCTACAAAATCAGCTACTGTTCAATTTTCCTCATGTCCGTCTTAGCATCATCACAATCATTCGATCAGTGTTGACCTGGCTGTTTCTATTTCTCCCAACATTTTACAGATTTCCACCGTGAGATTGTCTCCGAGATGGGAGAGTTGGGCGTCCTAGGCCCCACTATTAAAGGTACAGAAAATGATCGAGCTCACGTGTACGCGTTCGTTCCTTTGTCCACATTCGTTCCATTGTACCTTCTGCAGGTTACGGCTGTGCGGGAACAAGTTATGTGGCATACGGCTTGATTGCCAGAGAGGTTGAAAGGGTGGACAGCGGTTATCGCTCAGTTATGAGCGTACAGTCCTCGCTGGTCATGCATCCCATTAACGCATATGGCACAGAAGCTCAGAAAGAGAAATACCTTCCCAGGCTTGGTAAGGACTTGTGTGGATAAATGATACACTTAAAACCATTCTGACCTCTGCACATTGTGTGTGTGTGTGTGTGTGTGTGTGTGTGTGTGTGTGTGTGTGTGTGTGTGTGTGTGTGTGTGTGTGTGTGTGTGCGTGTGCGTGTGCGTGTGTATTCCAGCTCGTGGAGAAATCCTGGGCTGTTTTGGCTTGACCGAGCCGAACCACGGCAGCGATCCCAGCAGTATGGAGACCAAGGCCACGTACAACCCATCCAATGGGACCTTCACTATCAGCGGAGCCAAAACCTGGTGGGTTGATCGAGACATACACTCACCAGCCGCAGCAGTTGCACGTGCATAATCAAACGAGATCAATACAAGATTTTATTTTTAGCTTCTGTGAATCGTGGACATGTTGGAATGTTGATAGCTTGTCATCTCAGTGCAGTCAAGTCAGTCTTTGACTCATCGGTCAGTCTAAAGTTTGAATTCAGCTGGCCTTATTATTCAAACCATGGGCCGATACAGCCGTCGAGTGGTAATTTACTATAAGTGATATTTGTGTGGTGGAATCTAGCAACGGTTGCTGGGACATTTCGTTTCACAAGGTTGTCCTCAATGACACAATCTCATGCCTTCATAAAAATCTGAATGCACTGAATTGATTGACAGGAGCCCTCGTGTGCAGTTGTGCAACGTTTCAATGCTAATGGGTAGATACTGCAAAAGGGATTCTCTCCCCTCTTCTTAGGATCACCAATTCCCCTGTTGCAGACATCGCGGTGGTCTGGGCAAAGTGCGAAGATGGCAAGGTGCGTGGCTTCATCCTTGAGCGCGGAATGAAAGGTTTGGCGACTCCGAAGATCGAGGGCAAGTTCTCTCTGAGGGCCTCCGCTACTGGCATGATTTTAATGGACGAAGTGGAAGTTCCTGAGGAGAACCTTTTACCAAATGTCTCTGGTCTTGCTGTAAGTATTTCTTCTCATCTGCTAAGTGAGGTTATCTCCAAAACGGAGTTCATGTCATTTTCTTTTCACAATGCTATGCTCGGTTAACGCCACAATCTATTGGGTTCATCATGATCGTATTGCACTGAATTGATTTCCACTCCAGTAGAGCTCTTGTGCAGTTGTACCTAATGAAATAGCCAGTGACGGTTCATCTTTGTTGGGCACCCTTGTCACCAGGGTCCCTTCGGCTGCCTCAACAACGCTCGGTATGGCATCGCCTGGGGAGCTCTTGGAGCGGCAGAATTCTGTTTCCATGCAGCTAGACAATACACTTTGGACAGGTACTTGTTGCCTCTCCATGTGCACAATAACTACTTGTAGTTTACGTATTCCACCTGAATGACATTAATTTAACCTTCGAAATTGATCGTAATGCTCAACAGCATTGGTTCCCTTGCAAGACTCTCTCTAGTGTCAGTCATTTGTCAGTGGAGTCCACTGGAGATATTTTGTGTGTGTGTTAGGTTTATAAACAGGGTTCTAAATTAACTCTTTGGCTGGTGACTTTCTAAAGTTACCAGTTACCGGTCATCAAAATTTCCATTAGCCTTTAAAAAAATAAATAAATAAAATAAAAATACACTTAAGAACTGCAGTTTTTAATTTACCCCTCAGGCTAGTTCTGTTCATTTCCCGCACTGGTTGCACTCTATAGACTGCAGTGTACTAAACAGGCATTCTAGAGTGTTGTTCCTGCAGTTTTTTTTTTCCAAGATGGCGCCCAAGTAGGCAGCCGTCAGCAAGTGCTCTTCAAGAGCCTTTCTTTTTTTGGAGATTTTTTTTTTTTTGTCTTTTGTTTTGTCACATGGTGTGACGTCATGTGGACCTGATGTGGATTGCTTTCAACGTTTTTTGGCCACGACATTCGTCAAAGGAGAAGAATCTGTGCTTGGTGGTTGCGCCTTCTCGGCAGCATGCGTGTACCAGCACTGATTTTAATTGGGAGGAATGTCGGCCCCGCTGCTTGTTTTTGCGCCTGCAATGGGCTGCACTTTTCACAGCCCCGTTTTTTTCAGTGGAGATGTCGGCGCTGTTGGACAGTTTGCTTTGTTGCGGCCAGGATGGCTGGCTGCTGAAGTTGAGGATGAGGAGAGAGGAGCGTCGGCGCGGTGCGCCGATGCGTATTTGGAACTGAGAGTCGCCGCTTGGAATTGAAACCTGATTTACATGGACAGGAGAAGTGAACCAATCTCTTTTTTTCGTCAATGGACGCTACAGCTTCTTGTTTACGTTGAAAATTGTGCGCATTTTGAGCATGACGTCTCTGATCCACTGGTGAAAGGACACTGATTCGCTCCTCTTTCATCTGGAACTGCTTCAAACAACAAAGCGGATGAAGGAAAAGGGGTTAAGATTGCACAACTGTCTGTCTTATGTGTTGTGTTTATTATTGACTTTGTTAACTGTTTTGTAAAGCTCTTTGTTACAGCTGCAGCTGTTGTGAAATGTGCTACATAAATCAGGATGTATTGTATTGTATTGTTTTTGAGCATTTGTAGTTGAATACTTTTTTTCTTCTTATTGTTGTCGGTTATGTTTCTTGAAACCACAGCTAAAGCTGAAAACTGTATTCCAAAGTGGTACGATTTGATAGACAAATTCGTAGGTCTTTTTTGTCTTTTCATCACTCTTAGCGTGATTAGAATGTGAAATATTTCCGTGCTGCAATCAGAATACAGTTTGGGGTGCCACTGGCGAGGAATCAGCTGATGCAGAAGAAGATGGCTGACATGTTGACAGAGATCACCATTGGGCTGCAGTCGTGTTTATCCCTGGGAAGACTTATTGATGACAAGAAGTAAGTACTTGATCGTACGTCAAGCTATTTTTTTTTAAGGCTCTTTCCAATGATGCTCTTGTTCTTTTCTGAATAGAGCAACTCCAGAAATGATTTCCATGCTGAAGAGGAATAGCTGTGGCAAAGCTTTAGATGTCGCAAGACAAGCCCGGGACATGTTGGGAGGCAACGGAATTGCTGACGAATACCACATCATCCGTCATGTCATGAACCTGGAGGCTGTGAACACCTACGAAGGTAAGTCACTAATTAATTACACCACATAAAAAGTGGCTCAGTTAAGTAGTGCATACATGTTCCTCAAATGGACGGATCCTCTTTCCCGCAGGAAAAAAAAGCAGGTTGTATGATGATGATACTTTACCTTGTGGCGATGAGCGGTCCACTTCTTGCTGAGGCAGCTAAACAGCATTTTGCTCCATGACGCCAAGCGGCTTCACATTATTCTGCCCAGTCTCCCATTTCGCCAGTCGTTTCACTTGACATTATATGTACACATGCCGCCTTCTGGGGTTGATTTAACAAGCCCGCCCACAGCCATGATGAGGAAATATGGGACCGTACCAGTACTATCGTATTAACTGCAGCGATGTCCATACGTTGCTTTAGATCAGCAGTGTGTTTTTGGACTGCATGCTTATGCTCTGCTGTGAAAGACATTGTAGTGTAATTCTGCTTTTGCCTTTTGCCAGGAACCCATGACATCCACGCCTTGATCCTGGGCAGAGCTATTACTGGACTTCAATCGTTTACAGTTGAAAAGTAAAGTTTTCAGAGGATTTTTGGGTGTGTAAATTAGATGCCTTGATGGCCATCTTAGCAAGTGCTTTGATTTGTGGGACAATATTACAAATACAGGGTGTCCAAAAAGTGACTAGACACACCCCCCCCCCCATTTTCATATCAGGTGTCAATCCATCGGGCATGAGGTCATCGGTGTTTCGGACAGCATTTCCCCGACTGCAGTTCAATGACTATTTAAGATTTATGGGGTTTGGTGTTTCCATCAGTGGTGGTGGTAGTAGCAGGCCTTCCTCTGCAGTTTGTCAAGAACAGATCCTGATGAGAAATGTGCCTTGGGGACTATAAAGTACTCTATGCACTGGAGCAGTGTGACAGCCAACAAGCTTCTTAAACTGGCCTTGAACTGCAGATGGGCAAAACCTCTTGAGGGGCAGCAATATCGCAACGCTGCTCCAGTGTCAATTAGTGAGCCATGTGAAACGGCTTAGAGAAACTGCAAAGAATAAGATGTCAAACGCTGATGGCCTCACATCTGATGAAATGATACCTGAATGGAAATGGACAACAAGGAAGTGTATACTGTATAACTGTACAAAAATAATGTCACACTGTAAATTAAGAGCTGCTTTTGTGTTGTTTTAATACAACTTTAAATAATGCACAATGAGGGTGGTTGAGATGTTCCACATGAAAACCATTAAAACTGCTCTCCAACATGGTGTCAACGTCACTCTTTAAACTCAACTGAACTGCTTACACAGTACTTTTAATGAAATAGAAACTGCAAATAGGGCAAACAAGCTTTGTGTGCTCTTTGACTTAAAGACTGAAATCCAAACTATTGTTCCAAGTCTATGATGCCACCAGTAACTGATAATCTCTGAAAAGTGGAGGAAAGAACTCGACTCTGAACTTGAATGCAATCTATTCTGTCACGGGTTCTGCTATGCCGCTGACGGCGAGGCCATCTCGAAGGCTGGCCAGCACTTGGCTGGCTTCCAGGAGCTCCCTGTGGAGCTTGGTGCACATCTCTAGCACATCGGTCAACTCCAGCAGCTTCACATGCATCTCGCTGCTGTTCTCTTCATAGACCTTGTACAAGTCCTGCTTCATTTGCTGGCACACCTCCGTCACCTTTGGCAGGCCGCAGGGGCGGGGTTCACATTAGGTTTGCAGGTCAACTACAAAAACTGTGGACATTATTATTATTTAAAAAGGGCTACCTTTGCTACAAGATTCTGTTGAAAGCTTTCAATTTCTTTTTGGTCACTGGTGCGGCGGTCGTGAATCTTCTCGACCAGCTCCTGCACTCTTCTGCTGATGTCGTTGGGGCTGCAACTACCGGTACAACAGCAATCAGAGACTCAACTCGGTGTCTTTCAATGAGGCAAAGTACACAGAAGATATTTTTTGCCATAGGTGAGGGCATGTCCCCGTTTTGTTTATCCATCTTTTTATATGTATAAGATTCCACAAACAAAACTCACAACTTTAAAAATGCAGCTCTTCTTCACAGCAGAGCAGACGGTGGCATTGAAGTTCTTTATTTCATTGATGTACAGTAAATACACTTCCAGTGAATGCTTTTCCCTTTGTTAGATTGAAATTCATTGAGTTTAGTGGATAATTACTGTATACTCAGATGGAAGGAACAATGAAACACACAATTTAAGTTAGAAAGTTCCTTAAATTGTGGAATCAACATGCATATCAAAGGTAAAGTAAGGCGGAACACAACTGGAATTTTATCTACAAATGTTAAACAACTCTACAAATTCCTTCTCTATTCTGTCCTAGCAATTCAAATGACTTGAAGTGCTTGACTCAATTTTTTGAAAAACTGTAGAAATTGGGTCATTAAAATTAGCGTTCATGTAAAATAAACTGGTTGGAAAGAAATCTGACGCATAGAAATTCAAGGTGGGTCTTCGTCTGTAATCACTGATCGAAATCTATGATATGCCTTTCATTTACTCTTCCTGTCACACTGTCTATATTTCACCAGCAATTCCTGGCTACACAGGGGGCCAGCAATTCCTGGCTACACAGGGGGCACTGTATAGGAGAGACAGCTACAGTACTGCAATACCATAACAGCACTACAAAATAGCTCGCTAAAAATAGGGCAACATCTAGTGGTTATGGGTGTAATTCTGAACAGATTATTTTTCATTTGCCTTCAATCCAATATCCCAATATAATAATTGGGGACTTGGGAATGAGTGAACGATTCCTAACTGAGTCTAAGTGAGTGGAGCTGAAAGGTGCCTGCACAGTACAGTACCTGGAAGTCTCGTCAGTGTCATCCCTGCTCAAACAGGCCTGTGGGTCTTCGACCTGTAGTTACCAGAGACAGTGACAGCACAGCTACGAAAATATGAAACCAGCAACACTGTCTACAGTCCAACTCAATCATGGCTACCGAGGTGTACTACTGATACTTGAATAAAAAATTAAACGAAAAATGTAACGTGACATTCTACCATTCTTGGGTCCTCATCGCGTTCTTTGTTCTGGTTGGAATGGGAGATGGGTGTTTCTTCAAAGAAAAAATCCATTCTGGTTCCTCAGACTGCCGTGCTCCTTTGCAGTTCAGACAAAGTATGTTTCTGGAATCTCGGATGCTACATGCTATATAGCTAAAGCTTTAGTTTCAAACGTGTACTCCTGAAAGAACACGTTTGACGTGGAAACATACAACATATACAATTATTCTATAAAGAAATTAAAGATTATCACGCAAGTGCTACTACCTACGTGTTTGTAATGGCACCGAATCCAAATTGTTACTTGGGTGCCAGCTTCCAATGCACATACCAGTCGTTTCTGCTGCGTTCGTCGAAACACATTTTTAAGGAATCATACGGGTTTACATTGAGAGAAAAAAAACAGAAAGAACTTTTGTCATTACTGATCCTAATACAAGGCTGCAGCTGTTCATGGTTCCAATGTGCAGTTTGATATATTTATTATATTATATTTATATTATATTTATGAATCTAAAAATACAAAACAAATACAGCCCTGCCAGGGGGAAATATACGATTAGTTGATAAATTAAGAAATAGACGCTTTTTAATCAGTAATTATTTTTCATGATTCATAATATCTTTAATCATTATTTAACTTTTGCTTTCACAGAATACCAATTTTCCAACATGTTACAGACCAAAACAGTAACTGAATAATTTATTTTCTGCGTTGTCAAATTGAAATAATTTCCTGTTTTAGTTTTTTAAACGAAATGATGGACATTAAAACATGTTTGTTGATTTATTGACTGATTGATTAATTGATTAAACAATCAACAGATTAACCCATTAATATTATTCGTTTTCGTAGTCTCGCCCCTGTCCCAGTGTCCAACTCTTGCCTTCCAATTTAATAGATCGCAATTGTACTTTATGGCCTGTAGATGGCAATGTTTGCCACAGTTTTATACGTGGAAAGACGCTGGTTTTCACATTGTCTACATTTTGTAAAAGTGTAGTCAAACCTGCACTATTTGCCCCCTTTCAACGTATCGGGGTTCGTTTCGCACTCTGTTCCCATATTTTGATGTCGTCTCGGTGCGGTTCGCACTGCTAACCCGCACCAAATGCAGGATGCGAGCGACTTTTTAGGCTAGACAAACCACCGTAGCTAAGACTAGCCCGTATGGAATGGTGATTATACGTCATCGTTTTTCGTTTATCAGCGCCGCTGCCAGCGTGTTGCGGCTCAAAGCAGTGTACGCTTTCACAAAACATGCATTCAAGTAAGTAAGTAAGTGAGTCAGTGAGTGAGTGAGTTGGAGTGAGTGAGTGAGTGAGTAAGTAGGTAAGTACAACTTTATTGTCAAATGTACTGTATGTGCAATATGCAGCCCAGATGAAATTTCTTCCCTCTCAAAACAACATGCAACAAGAGAATGCGGTGCTCCTGACACCCAAAAGTGTTTTGCAGCTCTAATAAAAGCATAAATATGCACTGAAAAATGCACTCGTTTCCATTCATTGACTGTGTGGATGTAATTATAATATGATTATTTTCTGACTAGTTCACAGTGCATACACATTCTGTCTGTGGTGTATAAAGTGGGCTAATCTGTGTAGTCTGGAATGTAAAGGGGAGAAGGATTTGCATACTGACAATCTAATCCCGTCCTTCCTCTCAATCTCGCTCACTGTGTGTGCGAGCGCGCGCGCACATTTGCGTGTGTGGTTTAGTCTGCAGTTTGGATTATTCCAGTGAAGAGGACGCATGAGTCAGACAAAGAATATTTAATGTATATTCTTTTTGGTACAGGATAATGCATAAAATGTATTATTTTTATTATTATTATTATTAATGAAAAAATATTGTAAAATAATATCTAATTACAATTGATTCCAAAAAAAAGAAGCTATTTTGAAAAAGTGGGTTTAATTTTGCTTTATTGGATTTCAACCTTGACTAACATTTGAAACCACACACCACCACCCACATCCACCTCAAGGCAGGAATGCATCACCTGTAAAACTAAGTTGGAATTTGTTAAAGGAACTTCAACACCCCTGGGACACTCTGGGAATATGGACATCTTTCACAATACAGAAGAAGAAGAGAGACATTCCTTCCAATATTTGGTCCAGAATGTGGACCCACTGTATGAGGAATACAAGCCTCCTTCAAGGGACCTCATCCAGCTACCAAAATCTGTTTTTTACGTGTTTGTTGCCGCTGTGGTTGTGGTCGCTGTGGCTTATGCTATTGTGGGCCATCTCATCAAAGACCTCCTGCTGGATATCACAGGTAATATACCTCACCCAATCTCCAAAAATTCTCACAATGACATCCAGTTTAGTTTTAAGCAACTCCAACGTAACTGTTTGGGCCTGGTGCAAAAGTTTTTGTTTGCTTGCTTTGTTTTCTCCAGCCTGTAAGAAGCAAATATCAAGGGGACAAAACTGTTATTTTGGGTTCCTCTTAGTGAATAACCATTGTATATCCTGATATTGTAGTAAGGTAGTATTGTCGTAAAGGTTCTCATCTGAATGTAGTAAAATAACTTGGGC